TTGCATCATGTGCTATGTCTTTCCTTGGTTTTGACTGACAGCTTTGTTTGCCATATTTGACTTTATTCTCTTTCAAAAAAAAAAGTAATAAGACCTAAGGAGTAATAAAACCCAAAATGTGTAAATTGTGTTGTAAAAAAGAGAGGGAAAAAAAAAGTGCTCTAAAGGATACAACTGCAAGTGTGTTTAAGGGTGTTAAATAGATGACCATATTAATGTTTTTGGTTGGATCATTGAACACAACTGTTTGCAGTCTCACTGTTTGAATGTCCACTTTGTATGCTTTGATACTGTGACTTGAGCAACTATCTCTAAGATGATAATATGTAATCTATTAACTGGTGATTTCTTACTGTTTTTTTTTTTTTTTTTTTTTGTAGTTCTGTATTACTTGTACCCTTACACCGCTTTGTTTTGTTTTTTCTTCCTTTTAAATAAAATTTTAAAAAAAGATACTTGTATGACTCTGTGAGTCTAATCACATTGAATTATTTGCATGCTTTAAATTTATTAAAATGGAAAATCGTTATATGTATTTTACAATTTTTAAAGAGTGCAGAAGTTGTGGGTACAGCTCATGTGCTTGCCTAGTAGGAAAAAGGTCTTGGGTTCAACCTCCATCACCACAAAGAAAGAAAAAGAAACACCTAAAAACTGCTGATTTCTAGATGGTGCAGCTTATACCCTTTTACGCCTGATGGGCCATCGGTAATTAAGAGACTCTCAAAACTGTCCCCTTTTGAATAATAAATTATATGGTAACTCAGTCTCTATAAACATTTTGATTTTCAGTTGTCATGATATCCTAACTGCAGGCATTAGGACCTTAGGAAGGTTTTTTCATGACATCATCGCTAGAAAACTAAAACCCCAGGGAACTGGAGGCAGGGTTGGAGAGGTGTGCACTTCACACAGATGCCCAGCGCTCAAACGAGGATTATATTTTAATGGCAAACCACCTGTTTTCCTTGGGTCCCGCGAGAAGGTGACTTGAGGAGTGCCAGCAGAGTCCCTGGTAGGGAGTCAGTCATCGCAGAAAAAATGAAATTGCCCCACCCTTCCGAGTTCGCCACACTTAGCATGGCCGCCCGGTTCAAGTGGAGGCAGAAAGCCAGCATTCCAGGAGGGGCGGGCCCTCGCAACCAAGCAAGACTCAGGGGACCAATGGAGAAAAACAGGGGCGGAGCTAGTGTGCTGTTGGCCAAAGGGCGGTGGGCTTGGTTTGTTCTGCCTGTGCCTGCCACGTTGTAGTCAGGTTTTCTGCTGGATTTTGCCCTGTGTTGTGCCACCGTCAGCGCTTCCGGGTTAAATTTAGTCTGAGTTTATTGTCTCCTATCTAGTGTCTGTCCCTCCCCTTCCCCTTCAAAACCAGCCTTGTCAAAGTCCTGTTGGCTCCTCCTTTGCAATGACTCATCTCTGTATCCTAACTTGGAGATAAATTGGCGGTGCCACGTGTCGCTTCACGTGTTTGAATTTAATTTTTTAAAATTAAAACTAGAAAGAAAAATTATTCTCACACCAACCGGAAACATGATGTCATGGTTAACCTTTGACATTCTTCCTCCCCCCCCATCCCGTGTATTTTAACACAATAGAATAAATTATAAATTATATATTAATGGTTTCATACTGTTTTTCTTTTGTCATTTTAATTGAATAGGATAAAGTGTTCCACTTGCAAGTGTGTCATAACTTTTATATTCCCCTGTTGAGCATCTAAACACAAACTAAAGATTGGAGTTGGTGAGGCAGGTAGGGAAGATTTATCTAGGAGCTATTTTCACAAGAATTAAAAATTCTTAAACCGAGTATAGTGGCACTTGCCTATAATCCCAGGATTCAGGAGGCTGTGGTAGGAGGATAACCAAGAGTTTGAGATCAGTTTGGGCTGATTCAAGATCAGCCTGAACTACCCTGTTTCAAAAAACAATAATAATAAAGTAAAATAAAAATTAAAATCACAAGCTTTTAGAGACTTTATGATCTTAGTAATATGATTTTAGAAACTCAGAAACACTGAAAATGGTGGTGCAGGAACACAATCCCAGTATTTGGGAGGCCGAGGCAGGAGAATTCCTGTGAGGTCAAGACCAGCCTTGGCTACATAGTGAGATCCTTCTCAAAAAACAAAACAGAAACTCAGAATCACAACATTTTGGACTGGTAACAGGGGAATGAAACTCTCAACCTGCTAGATGTCTAAAACATTGAGTTCATGTTCTCTAAAACTGAGGAATGAATTCTAGGAACAACAGAGGTTAAGAGTAGGAAGAATTTATTTAAAGAAAGCAAACTTCCATCAAGAGGGACAGAAGGGGTCCTGGAAACTGGGTATCTGTCACCCCACTTCTGTTTATTGAGGAAAGCCATGAGATAAGGCAGGTTTAAAGTGGGACAGAACTATAGTCAATCAATAAATTACAAGTATAGTCACTTAGGTAATATTGATCAAATCACAGGATGGATATGAGGTGTGACAAAACTAAGTTTACAACAAGTATAGTTGCATGGGTAATTTGACTAAAGGGGGATCAAATTGGGAAGCAAGTTATGAAGCAAGCATGGAAGGGACAGACAAGGTCTTTCCTGGAAAGGATAGGTTAAGGATGACTATTGAGAATAACTATGACTGTTGTTCATCCCAAGTTCATTTTCCTTTCCTTTCCTTTCCTTTCCATTCCTTTCCTATTGATTGATTGATTGATTGATTGATTGATTGTCTCACTATGTATTTCAGGCTGATCTTGAATTCACTATGTAACCCAGACTGGTCGCGAATTCACAACAATCCTCCTGCCTCAGCTTGCTGACTGCTGGGATTACAGGTATGTACCAATATACCCAAGCAGAGTTCACTTTCTAACTGTGTGACATCTGAGCAAGTCATTTTGACTCCTTGAGTCTTAATTTGTTCATCTTACAATGAGGGTAAGAGTCTTTACTTTTTAAGGCTGTGGTGAAGAACAATTGAGATAAGGTCTGTGACAGTGTGTTAGAAAGAAAGCACTATGTTGATGTTATGACTGGACCGCACAAAATTTTTAGAAAGTTTTGTTTTTCTTTTTTTCTATTATGGGCTTTTGCTATGTTCTAGGCTGGCCTTCATCTTACTGTGTTACCTAGCCTGGCTTTAAGCTCACAGTGTTGTTGCCTCTGTCCTCCTGAGTGATAGAATTATAGGTATGCACTCCCATAACCAGGTAAAAGATTGAAATTTTTGAAGAATCATTGTCTTAGTTACTTTTCTTGTTGCTGAGACAAAATAACTGACACTCAAAAGGAGGAAAGATTTATTGAGGCTTACAGTTTGTAAAGGTCCATAATTTGTTGGCTCCAAGGTAGGGTGGCATCAGAGAAGCATCACAAAGGAAAAACAGTTCATGACATTCAAAAGACAGCAAAAGTGGGGCTGGGGATTTAGCTCAGCAGCATAAGCGCCTGCCTTGTAAGCAGGCAGTCATGAGTTTGATCCCTGGTACCGATAAAAAAGAAAAAGACCAAAAGAAAAAAAAAAAGACAGCAAAAGTAATAAGGGCCAAGCAGCGACAGCAGCCTTTTTCCTGTTCCTAATATTCTAGCCAGGCTGCATACCTGTAGGGCAGGCAGCACTCATACCCAGGGTGGGCTTTCCCATTATCCACACCCAGAACTATGCCAAACCAATCAGTGGATTAATTTAGTAATCATACATCCTTTATTCCAGCATCACACAGTGTAGATCTAGCCACCTTGGAAAAGCTCCAGTTATGACCACATGGGGCTTTGGGGGACATCTAGACACAAGTCATAACAACCATTATAACTCAGAAAATTGTGGAAGGAAATATGTCAAAAGCCAAGTGGCAAAGTGGCTACTATAAAGGCAATCAGTCAACTATATAATAGAGTCCTTTGGGAGATCAGGCACTAGTTCTTGTGCCAAAACTACATTATAAATCCAGGGTGATTTCCGTTTTACTTTGCATGACTTCTTTTAATGATAAGGAACTGGAACTTCAACTAGTCTCTGGTGAAGATTTGCCTGTCATTTCATCATAAGGCTATGCGCATTGAAAGACCCTGAGATATTAAACAGCCCTATTTCTGAAAGACTTGAAATTCTGAATGACAGGGTGGCACTGGATTCAGGAAGGGAGTAGGGACTTTAAAAGAACTGGAAGGTCTAGCTTCCTTAAAGGATCACCTATTTACCTGGACTGAGCTCCAGTTTCCTCTTGTAAATGGGAATAATCACAGAATTGCTCTCTAGTCCGGTAACTAACTATGTACAGTAAAATAATGGAACCTAAAACTACTAGAATAACAGGGTCCTTGGATTTTTGTTTTGAATAAATGAAAGAGGAGTTGCTGTAGTTAAAGTGGAGTACAGTAGTTTTTTTATTATTATTATTATTATTTGGTACTGGGGATCAAACTCATAACTGTGAGCTTGCAAGGCAGGCACTTATGCCACTGATCTAAATCCCCAGCTAGTATAGCAACTTTAAAAGTGAACCCTATCTCCTTTTCCTGTGATCATCTGTGATTACAGATCTGGATAATGAGACCTAGACAGCAGGTGACCTGCTCCAGGTCACAAAGGTAGATGAGAGTGATCCCAGATTTCCTAAGCCTCAGGATGGTGTTCTTTCACCCTAAACCAGCATCTTCCTAATAACAAGTGTATATATGAGATTGAAATTATAAGGAATGAAAGTATTAAGAATCCAAAGGAAAAATGGAAAAAGGACATGGACAGGTAATTCACAAAGGAAGTATAGTGGGATTTTTTAAAAAAGCATAGGGAAAAGTTCAATTATATTAACAATGAAAAATGAAAACAACAGGGACCTGTGCTGCTCTGCTCTTATATCAAACTTGATTATTTAGTTCAGACATTTTATGTTTCTCTTCTGTCCCTCATTCTCCTTGACTTTATTTCCGGCTATGTCCTGTCCTTAGCAGTGCAATTTCTACCCTTTACCAGCTCCTCCTCCTCCTCCTCCTCCTCCCCCTCCTCTTCCCCCTCCCCCTCTCCCTCCTCCTCCTCCTTCTCCTGGCACTAGCCAGGCTTTGAGGCAGCTCCTGGTCTGACCAATAAGTAATCATCCAGTGGTGGCAGGTCGGGCCACAGTTCCACACGTAGGTCCCCAGAGCCTCTATGGCCCCCACTGTACCCTTTCTCTAGGTCAGCCCTTTTACTGCTTGGGAGAGCCATGCTACAGCACATGTGCCAGTACTGGGATTGATGAGCTTGTAGTGGCTTGTTGAGGTGAAGGGCTTCTATACTGTGCAAAGGAGGAAGAAGAAAACCTGCTCCTCTTGGCCATGGGTAGGACCCCCTGCTAGGGTCAAGAAGTAGACAGTGACAACTGTGTAGGCATTAGGTGGGAAAATGTTGATTGGCTAGGAAAAAAATGAAAAAGGACAAATTTTAAGCTAGCAAACTTGCAAAGAGTTTTCAGTTTATTTACTTATCTATTTAACTTTTTTTTTTTTTTTTTTTTTTTTTTGAGGCAGGGTCTCCCTAAGTAGTTCAAACTGGCCTTAAACTCACTGTGGAACCCAGCCTGGCCTCAAATTCAGAGTGATCCTCCTGCCTTTAAATTTTGAGACAAGGTCTCTCGTTAAATTACTAAATTGCTTAGGCTACACTTGAATTTGTAATCCTGCTACCTCAGCCTCCAAGAATGCTAGGATTATAGGTATGTGCCACTTCTGGCTCATGAGTACTATTAACTTTAATAAGAATGAATTCTAAATGCTCAATCAAACCACTTTTAACCTAGGTAAATATACCTTTCCTAAGGATATTAAATTAGTGCTGAGATTATAGATAGGCCACCAAATCCACTTTGAAGTAAAATTTTTTGGAACATTTAAAATATATTTTAAAAATATATTTATGTTCATTGTTTATAAGGTGTGATAAGACAAGAAATACAGAGAAATAAAGAGATAGCAAAATAATAAAATGCACCAAAATCCTCAACGTGAGTTTATTGAACCAAATCTTTAATTTGAAATTATTAAACTCCACTAAATCAAAAGAAACAATTTAGAGCCCAATGACATCTTTATAATGGCATATTATATGGCTACAAAATGAAAATTTGCAGTGAGTTTTTTTTTTTTTTAGATGCATCTTGCTATTGTAGCCCAGGTTGATCTTAAAAATCACAGTCTTTCTGCTTCAGTTTCCCCAGTGCTGGTATTACAAGTGTGTGCCACTGGCTGGCTCTGCAGTGCATTTTAATAAACAAGGAAATAACTCATGTCATAAAATACTAGGAAGAAAACTTCCCCTAAAACTGTATTCAGATTAAATTAAAATTATTTTGAGGAGACATGGAAAAGAGCCAGCAGCAGCACTGTGCCTGTAGGAGCTGCTCGGGAGACCGAGGCATGGAAGAATGGCTCAGCCCACGTGTTCCACACCAGTCTGGGCAAATGGAGAGACCCCATCTTAAAAAATCAAACAAAGAAGATATGAGGAAAGAAAAATATAATGAAATGTTAACACACTGGTGGTCTTTAGGTGGCATAGTTTTGTTTTGACTTTTCCATATTCTCCAATCTCTTCACACACATACACCTCCTCCCTATATTTTGTGTTACTAGAGATTAAACCCAGGGCCTCATGCATGCTAGGTAAGTGCTCTATCACTGAGTTACATCTTTTTTTTTTAAATTTTGAGACAGGGTCTTACTAAGTTACTCGAGTTGATCACATAATTGGAATGTTTTTGCTTCAGCCTCCAGAGGAGCTGGAATTACAGGTGCCACTTTCATGCCCAGTTGATACTCTTTAAAAAGAAAAAAAAATAGTTCTTATGGGCTAAAATAAAAGTAGCTTGCAACAACCAGCTCTATTTTGATTAGCAAATGTTGGGGCCAAGGTTTAGTATTTTTTAGGAAACCCACTGTTCAAACACAAAGATTTCATGGTACCTATGATGCGTAAGCACTATAAAGATGTAGCAAAAAACAGTTGAATCAGGCAAGGATCCTAAAATCAAGAAACATGTTTCTAGTAGTGTGGGAAAAAGATATTTTCAAATAGTGATAAACAAATTAGAAAGTCCCTAACAGAGGTACAAGAAAATATGTTGAAGAGAAAGCTGGCAGTGTCATAGGAGCAATGAGTATACAAATAGAAGTGGTTGGAATGGTAAACTGGAGCTAGATCATGACATCTAGGTAAGAAGTGTATTGTTGCCAGCATGGTAGCACATTTCTGTAATCCCAGTACTTGGAGGCTGAAGCAGGAGGATTGCTGTGAGTTCAAGGCCAGCCTGAACTACGTAGTGAAATCATGTCTCAAAAAAAAAAAAAAGTGTATTGTTACATTGGAGTCTATATGTACTCAGTGAAGGAAATTTGTTTTTTTTGTTTGTTTGTTTGTTTGTTTTGGTACTGGGGATTGAATTCACGACCTTGCAATTGCCAGGCAGGTGTTTATGCAGATGAGCTAAATCCCCAGCCCCGGAAATTTGTTTTGCTTTTTTTGTCTTTTTGAGACAGGGTCCTGCCTCAGCCTCCCAAGTGCTGGGATTACGGGTGCACATTAAAATTCTCAGCTGTTTTGCTTTTTAAATCATTATCTGCATGATATGTGCTTTAGGAAAACTGTTTTTGAAAACAGAATAGGAAAGAGACTAAAAACTGTTGGATCAATTAGAAGATCTGTCAGACATGGTGACACATTCCTGTCATCTCAGCACTCAAGAGGCTGAGGCAGCAGGGCTGCCATGAGTTGGTGGCCTACCTGTGCTATACAGTGAGCTCAAGTCCAGCTTGCTATGTAAGCAAGATCTTGTCTCAAAAAGGAAAAAAATTAAAAGGTATACACAGAAGTTCAGGTGAGGTGATGAAGGGGACCACAGGCAATTTACATAAAGAGGAAAAGGTGTTCAAGTAAAGAAATAGATCAGATTTTAGGTGTTGAAGGTCACAAGTTCCTATCTCAATAGGTCCAAGTGTTATGATTGCCTGAGGAATTTATTTTAAAAATTGCCTTCATGTTGTGATTTTTTAAAATTTGCACCCATTTCTTGGTTTGGCAGACAAGAAAATTAATTACACTATATGCTATGAGTGGTTTGCTATGTATAGTGGAATTATAGTTATATTGTTTTCCAGTACATTTGTGTGTACCATCTGGGCCTCAAGGAGCAGAAATACAAAGGATTCCTCCTCTTCTGTAAGGAAAAATTTCTTACTTTGAGTAATGTGTAAACTACAACAGGTGGTTTAGTGTGGGTCAACATAAAAAGGCTGGAAGAAGTGCAGGAATATAGTCGTCTCCTGGAGGGTCGGATACCCCAGCGTCTGTCTCTACACCAGAGGGCCTCTATGCAGCAGGGACTCTTCCAGTACCCTTGTGCTGGAGGCTTAGCTGGATCAACCGGAGCAGAAGCGGTGCTTCCGCAGAGTCTTGCCTGTGTTGCATACCTAGCGGCCTGGTGTTTCTTTGCATCCTCTCTCTTATAAGCTTCTGTGACTTCATTACCTACTTGAGCTGCCTCTTGCAGCCTCTTTCATCATGCTTCAGCTCTCTCCAGGGTTAGGCTATCACAACTCACTCTGCCCAGCCCTGTACAAACAGAAAATCCCAGCAGAGATTGGGGAGCCAGCCCAATATCTTTCCGACTTTTTCTAGGTATTTTGCCCTCTTCAACCTGTAGGCTTTTATATATTTTTTTTTCCTTTTAAGTGTGATTTTCCTTGTAATGGGGCATACCAAAAAAAAAAAAAAAAAAAGCAGGAAAGTCCTCCTGAAGCTAACATAGTTTTTAGTCTGAGGTAGCTTTATTTATATTTTTTGTGTAAGCCATTTAAGAGCTTTTTGGGATACTTTTTTTTTTTGAGATACTTTTTATTAAGGTGGCCATAGAATTATTACTTTAAAGGAACTTTAACTTGAGATCAAACATAGTCTTCTAAATGGCCTCCCTTTATTCTCTTGTCCCCTAAGGCTTTCTCTGATGTAGCTGTGCTGAAGACTGGAACAGTTTTATTTTTAAAAAAGCTTTTAAAAGTTCACTTGTGTGGGGACTGGGGATTTAGTGCAGCGGCATAAGGGCCTGCCTTGCAAGCAGGCAGTTGTGAGTTCGATCCCTGGTATCAATAAAAACGAAAAAGACCAAAAAAAAAAAAAAAAAAAAAAAAAAGAAAGAAACACTGGCAAGCTAATGAAGAAGATATACAAATAGGCTAAAAGTTAAACTACCTTGTATTGGGGTGCAGAGAAAGGACCACACCATTCCTATGGATTGGTTGGAATAAACTATATAGGTAAAGTGCATCGGTTAGGGTTCTCTACAGGAATAGAATCATTAGAAAATATATAATTTATATAATATAATATAATATAATATATAAAATGTAATATAATTATGCAAGGGATACATTAGGTAGGCTTCCAAGGTCAGAAGTGGAAGAGTCCTCAGCAGCCATCTGCATGCCAGAGAGCTGAAGGATCCCGGAGCTGCTCAACCCAAAAAGATTAAAGGAACTGGGTGTGGTGACACATGCCTGTAATTCCAGCACTCAGGGAGGCTTGAGACAGGATAGTTGCTGTGAGTTCAAGACCAGCCTGGGATACAAAGTGAGCTCAAGGCGAGCCTGAATTAATTTTTTAACAAAAAAGGATCAAGGATCAAACTCATGACCTTGCACTTGCCAGGCAGGTACTTGCACTGCTAAGCTAAATCTCCAGGCCCGCCAGCCTGAATTTACACAGCGAGACCCTGTCTCAAAAACAAAAATAAAAACAAACAAAACGAAGATGAAAGGTACAGAACAAGAGGGATCACAGATCCAGTACTGGTCCAAGGTCACAGGCCTGAAGCTCCCTGGAGTCACTGGCATGAGTCTGTGTCAGAAGCCTGAAGAAACTGGAGATCAGTGTCCAAAAGAAGTGGCAGGATAGGACGCTTCCCCTCAAAAAGACTGCACTCTTCAAAAATGGGGACTCTTTTTAACTCCATCCAGGCTGCGAGGTTATTGGTTAGTGCCACCTACAACTGGGTGGCTCTCCCCACCCTCAGTGTGCTGGCCTGTGTGTCAATCATCCACAGACTCACCAAGAAATGTGCTTTACTAATCTGCTAAGCATTACTTACTCTAGTCAAGTGGATGTACCATGATTAACGGTCACAAAGGAAGCATTTGACTTGCGTCTAGAAACATCTAGAAAAAGGAGCAGGCATTTTCTAGGTGAATAAGTACAGAAATACCATCTCAACAGAGGAAATTGTAGGTATAAAAGCAGAGAGATGGAGCCAGGCATGGTAGCTCATGCTTTTAATCCCAGCACTTGGGAGGCTGAAGCAGGAGGATCATTTCGAGTTCGAGACCAGCCTGGCTCCTGGTACAAAGTGAGCTCAAGGCCAGCCTGAACTGCATAGTGAGACCCTGTCTCAAAAAGACAAAAAAAAAAAAAAAAAAAAAAAAAAAAAAAAAAAAAAAAAAAAAGCAGAGAGATGAGAAAAAAAGCAGAGAGATATGATACAGTTTGTTATGATTGGAGAATTACAGGATTTTATTCTGACTGAGGAATAATACTTGTTTTGGAAAAGGTGAGAAATGAGCCTAGAAAGGTAAATAGGAGCTAAAGAATAAAGGACTTGATATATATATTTAGGAGTTTAGACTTGATCCTATAAGCCACAATAGGGAGCCACTATATTTACCCTTTTTTTGGTCTTTTTGAGTCAGGGTTTTGCTATGCACTTCAGTCTGGCCAGTGATCCTCCTGTCTCAGTGTCCTGAGTGCTGGGATTACAAGCATGTGCCATCATGCCCCATTATATTTACTTTTAAATTAATGAAGATTAAATTAAATTATAGTCCTTAAATCACAGTAGTCATATTTCAAATGCTCAATAGCCATATGTGATTGGACAGACATGGTATAGAACATTTATATATCTACCAAAATATTTTTAAATTTTTATTTATTAATTTATTTGATTCTGGGGATTGAAATCAGGGCCTTTGCACCAAGCTACATCATCAGCCCTTTTTTATTCTGAGGCAGGATCTCACATTACTCAATCCTCCTCACCTGTCAGAGTGCAGGGAATAAGAGTTGTGTGCTGCTATGCCTGGCTATACACAGCAGAAGGTATTGTTGGGCAGGACTGCAATAGGCAAGAGGTGGGACACTAAACAGTTTGGCAGATGTGCTCATATTTGTGTTCAGACAGATCATATTTGCCAGGCATAGTGGTACATGCCCATTACTTCAGGAGGCTGAAGCAGGACGACTGCAACTTCCCGGTCAGCCTTGGATACACAGTAAGGTTCTGTTTCAAAAAGAAAGGCAGGAAAATATCATTCTAATGGCAGCATATAGGATGACATAGAAGAGGGAAAAAGATCCAGGGATATAGCTCAGTAATACAGTGCCTGCCTGACAAGTGCAAGGCTGTGCGTTCAATCTCCAAGACAGAAAGAGAGAGAGAGAGAGATTTGTTTGATCTTGTTTTGTTTTGTTTGAAACAGGGTCTCACTCTGTAGTCCAGGTTGGCCTTGAACTTGCTATGTAGCCCCTACTAGCCTCAAACTCAAGGTACTCCTCCTATCTCTGCCTCTCGAGGGCTGGGATTACAGGCATTCATTTGCACGCTCAGCTGTCCAATCATTTTAAAAGTGAAAAGGTCATAAATTATTTGGTTTCTCTATGATGAATATGATCATTATGTGTATCTAAAATGTACCAGTAAAATCTGATTGGGAAAGAAAAAGTTACTATTGGCTCTTTTCCTTAGCTCTACCACCATAGCTACCTTGCTGCCAGTGTTTCCTCATAATTAAGGGCAAAATCAGAATAGAATTTAGGTCTCACCGACTGACTTCAAGTAGTCTTTTGTAGATGGAGGCAAATGTTTCAGTCTTTTCCTTCTATCCTTTCCCAATAGGTCAAGTGGGCTTGACGAGCCTAAGACGATGTGGTACCCTCAGCTGATGGCCAAAGGAGTTTCCTGATGGTAAAGAGAAGGCAGTAGCAGGTAACACATCTGGGAGAATGTGAACCTGGCTTATCTCCCACCTAGCTGAAGATGCTCAGCACCCATTTCAGATCATCACTCAGAACACCTTTTACTGCTCTCATCTAAGTGATCACCAAAGCCTTTTCTTTCTCTCACCTTGATTCCTTTCCATCTCCATCAGTACCTTAAATTAGGTCCTCCTCCTTTTAAAATTACTACTGTAAATCTTCCAGCTGGATTCTTTGGTTCTGTTCACTCCTCCACTGTTTCACCCTTCACTGGTCTGATGGATCAAAGTTTCCCCAAGGCCAGGCATTTAACAATTTGACTCTAATTTCTTTTCTCACCAGTTTTTTCTTCCATGTTTACATTTTAGCCAGACTTGAAGTCACCACTCGTTACTTTTACTTCAAAAGACTGTGAGCTTCCAAGGACAGGATTTTCTTCATCTTTTTTTTTTTTTTTTTGAAACAGGGTGTTGCTATGCAATTCAGACTGGCCTTGAACTCACTTTGTATCCTCATTCATCTTTGCATCTCTGGCATTTAGTCCAGGATCTGGCCCACGGTAATATATATCTGGTAAACTGGTTGAATACTTTCATTTATCTTTTTTTCCTCCTCTTTCTCCTACCTATATAACTCATCTCTTCTAGGTTGTCTTTTTTATTAAATTTTAAAAAACTTTTTCAAAACCACACAACACGTGACAGATGCAGAAATGGGTCTGAAACCATATTTTATGTGAGTTCTCTCATTCCTGTTTTTTCCATGCTATCTCTGAAGATGCAGACAAGAAATGTCATAGCAGAAGATAGAGGGAAGGAAAAGGGGAAGGGAAAGGGAATTGAAATGAATAAAAATATGTTATGTACACGTACCAACTCCCCTTGATGAATGTGATCATTATGTATTGCAAACATGTACTAATAAAAAAATTAAAAAGTCAGGCACAGTTGCATAAGCCTGTCATCTCTGCAGATGGGAGGCTGCGGCAAGAGGATTGCTTCAAGTTGGAGGCCAGCCTGGGCTACATAGTGAATTCAAGCCTGAATTACTGAGTAAGACCTTGCCTCAAAAAAAGAAAAAAAAATTAAATAAAAAAGAAAGATCACAAGGGAGATGAGTTATAGGTAGGAGAAAGTGGAAAAAGAAGGTGGAGGGGCTGGTGATTTAGCTCAGCGGCATAAGCGCCTGCCTTGCAAGCAGGCAGTCGCGAGTTCGATCCCTGGTACCCATAAAAACAAACAAACAAACAAACAAAAAGACAAAAAAAAAAAAAAAGAAAAAGAAGATGGAGATATTCAATCAGTTTGCCAGATGTATATTACCACGGGCCACATCCTGGACTAAATGCCAGAGATGTAAAAGATGAATAAAGTACATCCTGTTCTTGGAAGCTGGACTTGAAATGTGACCTGTGTTGAGATGTCTTGATTTCTCCAAAGAAGATCCTGGTTTTTAGAGGCTGGATACAAAATGTCAGTAGCTAAGAGTGATGGATGTTATGGTTTGTGTTTGTATCCCCTAAAAGGCTCATCTGATCATTAGTGGGGCTTTTCAGAGGTAGATGGATCTACAGTGTGTATGATGGGACTGATTCATGGTGCAGTGCTTGGATTAAGGATGTGAGTGCTATCAGCCCTAAAGGCAGGTAGCCTGATAAAATATAAGTGACATAAAGAGACTTGTCCCTGGTCTCCTATTTGCTTGGTTTGCTAACTTAGGTCCACCATGAACAGTTTCTTCTCTATGATGCCAGGCCACCCTGCCTTAGAGCTAACTGATTACAGACTGAAACCTCTACAACTGTGAGCTAAGTAAACCTTTCTTCTTTTAACTTTGGGTGGCAGGTATTTTGTCTCAGAAAAAAGCAAAGTCAGTCACACTACACATATGCATGAATTTCTGGTTATATCTATATGACAGTGTCCTCTGGAAAGCTTAGTAAGTCTTTTTGTTTGTTCCTTTCTCTTTCCTACTCCCCAGTGTTTATGAACAACAAAAGATGGAAATGGTATCTTACCAGATTGTATTTACAAGGAAAGAACTCTTTGACCTGCCCTTTTTCAAACTTACAGTCCCAGTTGTATGGAACAGGAGCACAAGCACTGAAATGAGACAGCTCATCACTTAGGTAATGACATGTTTACTAGATACCATCTTTCTGCTTGTTAATTGTGAAATGGGTTTAAGGATCCTCAGCCTCACAGGGCTACGGATTAAAGCAAAGCATACATTTAAAAAGACCTCATGATGCCTACGCTTTGGTAGGTTGGTTTTTAATCCAATTTAAAAATTCATTTTTAGAGAGGGTAGAGAAATGGGAAAAAAATAGCTTCTAAAATCACAATAGTTTTTATTGAGGATAACCAGTAGTGGAACAGGAGTGGTAGTGCACGTCTGTAATCCCAGCACTTGGGAGACTGAAGCAGGAGATTGTTGTGAGTTCAAGACCAGCCTGGGCTACACAATGGGCTCAAGGCCTCCTTGAACTGCATAGGGAGACCCTGTCTCAAAAAAGAAAAAAAAAAAAAAGCAAACAAGCAAACAAAACAAACCCAGTAGTAGAGGTAACATGCCCATTTTTCAAGCAGTACTGCCATCTGTGTTGCCAAAGGGCTTTGCACACAAATTATACTAATTATTTCTATTCTCCTGTTAGTATATCTCACAATATTAGGTAGTTATTTTCAGTTATTAGGAGGCAATTTAATGGCAAACAAAGATTCATACAGCTTTAGAAATCGAAATTAGAAGTCAGATTCCCGTGTCCTGTGCCAAACGCTGGAATAAATTAATCAGAATCTGAGTCTTTCAAGAACATAAATATAGGGAAATGATAGTAAAAAATAATTCATAGTAAGAGGTATCAAATTTGTGTGTAAAACACAATGGTGGCACAAAAACGTCATTGAACTTTGCACTTACTTATTTATAAATCCGGGAGCATTGCACCGGGAGCCACACCCCTATCCCTTCGTATTTATTTTGAGACAGGGTCTTGCTAAATCGCTTAATTGTCCGGGATGGGCTCGAATTTATGATCCTCCTTCTGCCTCACACTGAAGGTGACACCTGAGATGTGAGAATGGCGTGTATGGGGGGATGGGTAGAGTCTTTCCAAATGTGGTTTCAAAAGCTGCCGGAACCAAGGTGCTGCAGGACTGGAATGAATCTCGGTCGTATATTGTTACCGGACCTGGACCCAGGCTGTTCAGCGTTTTCAGACTCCCAGGAATAGTAGCTGCTGGAGCAGATCTTCGGTTTCCACAGCTAGATACTGCAGCGACAAAAGATGAGCGGAACCTTGGGAAAGGTAATGTAGATTCCATACCTGCTGGGAAGCAGGGGAAATAGGAAGGAGGTGGCGGCGCACAGACATCCGGGAATGAAACACACTGGGGCGAACAGACCTTTCCCAGAAGTCCGTGCGGCGCCCCGTAGTAAAAAAGGATGCTCTGCCTCCTCAGAACCAGTTCCGACCCCAGCCGCACCCCTGTACTTGTGGTAGTTTGTGCCCGGTGCCTGGAAAGGGAAGAGCTTTACACAGGAAATCGCGGCGCTAAGACATTGTCTAAGTATGACTTTTGGCAGGTTATCTTATTTTTGTATAATCATTCAGGATTTTTTTTTTCCCGTGGAAGAAATTTTAGTTTTGTAATCTGGTTGGGATATGAAGCTACCTGGTGATCCTTAAGCTACTATCAGAACCGTCTGAACTTCAGTTCTTAAATGCATTCTTTGCCCGGAATCCCCTGTTCCCTTGTAAGATTTCAGTGGACTCTTTCAGAAAGTTTTATGCTATTGCTAATGATTTTTAGCAATTTTTAAAATATTAATTGTGGTACTGAAGATTGAACCCAGCGCCTTTGCACTAAGCTATCTTCCTAATCCTTTTAAATTTACTTAAATTTTGAAAATCTCAGTCTAAATTGCCAGGTTCCCCTTGAGCTTGTCACCTTTCTGCCTCCTAGTACACTACCACACGTGGATAACTATGTACTGCATATTAAAATATTATTTTAGCCATTAATCATAGAGACTGTATATTCTAAAAGTGTAAGTCCACATGGTCTTTGCTGTACTTTGATCTACCTGTTCTTACCTTAGGGCTGCCCAAGTGTCTCTAGAGTTGAATTTCTCAAAGGGATCACGCCTCACCCCATCCTTTAAGAAACCCACTCCTTCCCCTTAACCATTTTTTTTTTTTGTACCAAGGATCGAACTCACAACCTCGCACTTGCACCGCTGAGCTAAATCCCCAGTTCCTCTCCCCTTAGCCAATTTTAAGAATTTGGCCGGATCTGATACAAAGAAAAGAGAAAACAAATCAGAAAGTTTATAAAATTCTAGCATTAAAGTTGGTCACGCTGGGTCAGGGATATAGCTCAGCGCCTGCTCTGAGACCGTGAATTTGATTTCTGTTAGAAAAAAAAAAAAAAAAGATGGTCATGTTGATGAGTACTCTCTTTTCTATATAAAACTTTTTGACCACTGTGGTTCAAGTGCCTATTTATTTTCTGAATTCCTAGCTAGTATTACCGTTTTCCTTTTCATTTTTTTTCTAAGACAGCGTTTCACTATATTGTTCAGACTGGCCTTGAATTCCCTCTGTAGCCAGGCTGCCCTCGGACTCACATTTCCTCTTGCCTCAGCCTCCCGACTGCTGGGATTACAGACATGTACCACTGTGCCTGGCCACAATCTTGTGACTATCCTTGCCTCACCCTGTCTTGAAATATTAGCTAATGCTTTACATTTATTAGGAAATCCAGGTGTTTTTTCTCAGACTTGGGTTCTGTCCTTGCTAGCTGTGTAATGTTGGACAGGTTATTTAACTTCTCTGCTCTTCAGATTCCCATCTATGGAAATGCTGCTGATGTCCAGCACATAGAATTTTTGAACACATTGTGGAGAATGGCATAAGTATGTATAAGTACTTTTTAAGATGTGAATGATGATACAAGTAGTAACAATATTGATATAGGACCAAAAATTTAGCTCTTGGCAAGCATGAAGTCACGAGTTCAATCCCCGGTAACAACAACAACAACAAAAAGAATATTGATGTTCCATTGGTTAATAAACAGGTATCATTTAATTTGATTATAATATTAGGAGATAATCCTGGTGGATACAGCAGACAAGGAAACTCAGACCCAGTGATTATAAAACATGTTTCTAACTGCCTCATGGAGCCATGTAATGACAGACTTTGATAGTCAACATGAACATGTTCAGAAGAATACAGCCAAAGAAAAAAATTGAAACAAAAGCAATTTTTTGAAAGAGTTTAAGAAAAGAAAATCTAAAAAAAAAAAAAAAAAAGAAAATCTGGAGGTAATTATCACTGCCTTCTAATACTTGAGGGACTCCTGTAAAAAATAACTGAATTTATTCTGTCACACAAGAGTGGGGAAATACTGTAGGTTCAAACTATGGAGCTAAACTGGATGTGGTGGCACATGCCTATAATCCCTGCACTTGGGAGGCTGACACAGAAGTATTTGCCAAGAGTTGGAGGCCAGCCTAGGATACATAATGAGTTCAAAACCAGCCTGGGCTACATAGCAAGACCCTGTCTCAAAAAACCAAAAACCAAAGCCAAAACAACAACAACAAAAAAAAACTGTAAAGTTATGGGGAGATTGCTTTGGGTTTTCCAGGTGTGAGAACTTTCAGATAATTGGAGGTGTCAATAGATGTTCCAGCTCTGGACCAGAGAAGTTTTTAAATTGCATGTGAATCATTATGCACAGGACACATTGTTTACCCAGTGTGTGAGAAAGGTAATGAGAGGCACTGACTGAGGCCAGTGAGAAGAATTTGAAGCTCTTGGATTTTTTGTTTGTTTTGTTTTTTGAGATGAGGTCTCACTATTTAATACAGGCTGGACTTGAATTCGATGTATGTCTCAGTCTAGCCTTAAATTTGTGATTCTTAAACTTATAATCCCTGAAGGATTATAGGCATGTCACCTTTTTTTTTGGTGGGTTTTGTGCGTTTGTGTGTGTATGTTTAAAGTTTTATTGGTATGTTTTAGAGATACATAATGATAACATTCATCATAGAGAGTTTCTACCTGTATATAATATACCTTATTTCTTTTTTTCCTGCTTCCCTCCGCTCCCTTCAATACCTCGTCACTTCTTTATTTACGAAAGCTTTGTTTTCATTTTTTTCTTGTCCTTTTTTTCTTTCCTTTTCCTCTTCCCCCTTCCTTTGTTCCTCTTCTCATTTGGATATTTGCTTCCCCTTTCCCAATATCTATTATACATTTTTTCTTTATTAATACTCTCAGTTTCTAACACAAGAGAAACAATGCAATATTCACACATGTGTGACCCATTTATTTCACTTAAGAGTATGGTCTCAAGGTGCATTCAAGCTAGAAATGTCTCAAGATTATCCTTCTTTGAGGAATAGTAGTACTTCATTGTATAAAAAATAAAAACAAACAAACAAAAACCACATCTTTATTCATTCATTGGTTGATGGGCATTTGGGCTGTTTCCAAGATTTAGCTGTTATAAATTGTGCCACTGTAAACATGGGTTTGCATATATCGCTGTAATATGATGCTTTTAATTTTTGGGGAAGTCCTGTAATGCTTTCATTCTTCTGAATGGTTTTATACTACTTTGTTATGTTTGATATTATTGTGTGTGAAGGTATGCTAAACTATTTTGAAGAAAGAAGACATTATGGTAGCTACTGTTGATGTCCTATTGTCTTGTTGTGATGCGCTGTGTTGCTTTGCAATAGGAATATATGCTAGAGGAAAGAACCTCAATTTTGCTCTTAGCTAGAACACCACCACTTTTCACCTATATAGCTTTGGGTAGTGTGCATAAGCATATTAATTTACCTTTCTGAGTTTATATTCCTAACTATAAATGAGGGTAGAAATATCTACTTTACAGAATGGTTTTAGGAGTTAAAGGAGAGGATGTTTGGCATATGGTTGATTCTCAAAAAATGATAGTGTTAGGTCTGAGAAGAGGAAGAGGAAGGAGGGATTCCCATTCCTTCTCCACTCCTTCCTTCCTACCTTCCTTCCTTCTCCATCCTCCCCTTCTCAGACCTAACAGATAGGACATTGAGGCCATTATTATTGCCATTTGAATTTTACTAGTGTAAGTTGATATCACTTGCAGTGACTTATCTCTAGATGTACTCTCATGAGCGACACATGCTCATAGGTGAGGCTTTTTGAAGGTTGCTGGATCTAATTGGATTAGTCCACTGATCAGTTTAGCCTAGTTCTGGGTTAATGATAATGGTAAGCCTCACCCTGGCTGTGGATGGCACCAACCAATAACTTGTGGCTTGGATGGTATTCAGAAGGAAAGATAGAAGGCTGCTTCCTGCCTGTCCTGCCATGGGCTGTTTGTCCTCTGAAATGCTCTTCTGCCATGCCACCTTGCCCTGGAGGCCATTCAACTGTAGCCTGGAACCTCTATAAACTATGAGCTAAAATAAGTTTTTCCTCCTTTAACTTGTGGCTTTTGGATTTTTCCAATGATGAAAAAGTAACTGAGACATCACTATTTTAAGTAGTGTAACAGTGTGATCTCTCTTGTGTGGTGGTCATACTGTCAGATGTATTCTTTTCCTGCTTTCACTTGGCCACACCTGTCCTGCAGAACCTGCTTCTTTTCCTACCTTTAATAAAACGTTGCTACCATTAAAAAACAAAGCAAAGGAGGCTGGGGATTTAGCTCAGCGGCATAAGCACCTGCCTTGCAAGCAGGCGGTCGTGAGTTCGATCACTGGTACCGATTAAAAAAAAGGGGTGGGGCAAGGATTTAGTTCAGTGGCACAGCACCTGCTTGGCAGGTGTGAGATGCTAAGTTGATTCCCCATCCCAGGCCTCCTCCCCCATCTTGCCAAAAAACAAAAGGTACTATGACAGAATGGAAAACAGGCTTTGAATTCAGGCAAACCTTCAATCTTTCACACCCTAACTTTAGGCTATTTATTTGTTTGTTTGTTTGTTTTGAGACAGGGTCTTACTATGTAGTTCAGGCTGGCTTTGAACTCACTATGCAATCCTCTGGTCTTGTGCTAGGATTATAGGCACGTATCATCATATCCTGCTA